CAGGGCCTAGGGTGAGTGGTGTCAGATGGGTGTCAGTCAGAGTCCAAACAACTGTCTGAGGTGAAGAAACAGAATAAAACAGATTTATAGCCCAGGGCTGGCCTGAGGCCTGTGCCCGGGGAGCCCTCTAACTCTGGGCCCCACCGCTGTGCTCCCACACATGTGCAAGGAGAAACACATATAAGGAGCAGAGCCAAGCACAGGCAGCCCCATCTCCATTTCCCGGGATTACTAAAGGAAACAGCTCTTCTCCCAACCTTTAGAATACTCTGGCATGGGCCCAAGAACCAATGTGAGATTTGAAGGGAAGACACAGAGCAATCTTTAGAAAAGGGTCTGGAGAGTTTGTTTGGGGAAGATGAAGTGACACCCAGCCAATGATTCCTTGTGGCTCTTAAAACCCAGGCAGAAAGCTGCTGGCTGCTTCCCCAACACCCTCAGGTAGCTGGGTCCAGCCTCCTCCGGCTCCACACTCCGTCCTGCCTCATTTCCTTCGCCCCACTGGTAAGGATGGTGAGGATGCCCAAGTGTGGCCCTTGGGACCCACAGGGAGTGGGAAGGGGCCCTTGGCCCAACTCCAGTCTGTCCTATGTGCCGCCTGCCTTCTGTCTTAAGCCCCGGAACGACTTCCACTGCCTCTTGATTCAGAAAACTGCCTCTGGCCAGCCTCTGTTCCCAGTCTTCTGTTCATGTCCCCTCCCTTTCACTCCCAGATAGCTGTTTAAAACTGCTCAGTATGCAAGAGACCCAGTGGTCTCTGCTGGGTTTGGCTCTCGCCAGGAAATAACAGCAGCTGAGAAGGAAAGGTGGGGAAATTGCCTGAATTTTCCCTTTCCACCCCAATAAACACCACAGTGCCTCCAAGCACTTGACCCTCACAGCTGTCTCAGCAAGCAAGCAGCACATGGTATTCTCCCATTTTACAGAGAAGGAAACTGAGACTTAGGGAGGTGAAAGGGTTTGGCCAGGTTCCCCGAGTGAGTCAGTACACCCCACAGGGCCCCAGCTTCCTCAACTGTGCAATGGCAGAAATGGTACCTGCCCCACAGGGATGTTGGGGCAACTGGATGAAACATGCAAATATACAGCACGACATGCCAGATGTGCTCTATGTACGTCGGCTTGGAAGGAAAATGAGCAGGAGGCTCTGAGGGGCCCTGGGAGCCCACTGCAGTTATGGTGCAGTCCAATAATGAGACTACTGAGGCCTCCCAGTGAGGTCCTGACTGGGCTCCTGGAAGAACAACCCCTTTGTGGATGAAGGGGTGTCGGTATGGTCAGAAGGGGAGAGCCAAAGAGTTCCGAGGACTCTGTAGGGCACTGGCCCAGTCAGCCTTCTTCTCCCCTGGGGGCAGCAACTCCCCCAGCACTCTTTACAGACATTGACTCATGGGCAAATGGGTATGGCGGGGAGGTAGATCTTTAAGGCTATGGCCCCTATACTCGCCTTTCTTGTAGTACATTAAAAGCCAGGTCTTGGAGTAACCTGTGTCACCACCCACTCACGACCAAACCCGTGACAGTTACCATGTCATGAGGAGATTTGTCCTTCCTTCCTCTCAAACAAGTAATTGTCAGATCCGGACCAATACTCGATGTGGGTTTTGTGGCAAACAACCCAGAGAAGGTAGGTCTTTGTCTCAGAGAGCTTATATTCCAATGGGAGAGTAGGCAGACCATATACAACAAATAAGTTAGACAACTCCAGAAAGTGGTCAGTGTCATTGAGAAAATCAGCCAAAGTGCACTGGTAGAGACTGGAGGGTGGGAGTCAGCTTTAGATCAGAGGAGGTAACAATGGACCTGACACTAGAATGATGTCCAGTCTAGGGAGAGAAAAGAACAAGTACAAAAGTCAGACCAGAGAAAGCAAAGGGGAGGGTCAGCTAGATGAGACAGAGAAAGGCAGACAGAGGCCAAAGAGTGTGAAGCATCTGGTGTTTATTTGGAAAGAAATAAGAAGCACTGGAAAATGGCATAATCCAATTTATGTTTCTTACTGGCTGCTGTGTAGAAAATAGAATGAAGTGGGTAAATGATAAAGTAGGGAGACAGTTAAGGGGCTGTTGCAGGAGCTTAGGCAAAGAGGATGGTGGCCTGGACCATAGTGTCGGTGGTAGGGACACAGAGAAGTAGACAGGTCTGCAGTATGTCTTGGGGCAGAGCCCACAGGTCTCACTAAGGAACTGCACATGTGAGTAAGGGCAAGGGAGGAATCAGGGAGGCCTCTCAGATTTGAGCAACTGGGTAGATAATGCTACCATTTTCTGAAATGGGAGGATAAAATGCGAAGAAAACATGCCTATATGTATGGAAGGGGAAGAACAAGAGCTCTGTTAGTTTCAGAGCTGCCTCATGATCTGCAAGTCACTGGAGAGGTCACTGGGCAGCTGGAGGCGTTCCTGTTATCTCACCCCGACCCCTCCCCATCCCCAGAGATCTCTGCCCCAGCCTTCCACATCACGTGGCACCCTGGCTTCCAAACCACATCTGACTTTTAGGCTCTCCTGACTGCCTGACTCCTGCATACAAATGAGCCTGTCTCTCAGTTACCACCCAGCTCTGACCTATCACTCATGACATGGTTGTTCAAACATCACCTGACTCAGTATCTGCTATGCCTCTGGGCCTGGCTGAGAGACTGCCCTCCCTGCTGCCACCAAAGGGCTCTCCAGGAGCCAAACAACCCCTGTGGCTGGGGTCCATGGGACCTGGTTCTTGTCTTAAAGACAGACAAGGGGAAAGCCGGGTCCCCTACACACTTTGGATCTCTGGAGATCCAAGGGAAATCCCTCAAGTTGCTAAGCCATCTGCCAAAGAGGCCTTAAGCGCAATAAAGGAGGTTAGAAGGTATAGTTTGGAATCCAGCAGGACTGTGTCTGAACCTCGAGCCCCCCCGTTACTAGCTCTGGGACCTTCATAGAGTCTGTGGCCTCTTGAACCCAGCAGTCCTCATCTGTCAAGTAGGGATGATGTTGATGAGATGCTAGGCAAGTCACTGATCTTGTAGGATTCTTGTGTCCTCAACTGTAACCTCCACATGAGTGTTTGGAAACTGCTTTTGATTTCTGAGATCTTAGGGAGGGGAGGGGTAAATGCTGAGGCTGGGCTAGGGGATGGAGGGACCATTCAATGCTTCATAGTCTCCAAGTCCATCATTTTAAATCTGTCACCATAGATTAAACATTACATGTTGGGATCTCCCTCCTGTACAGCAGAAAACTGTTAGGCGGGGTGGTGGGAGATAGATAGAGAGCTGTTACACATATTATGTGCATGTGTCCATGTGACTTAATGCTCAAGGAACCACCATCCCACAAAGCAGTTTCCCTGAACCTTCACATTGGCCAACTCCTTTCTGCCAGCTTCTTAAAGGCTGGCGTATGTCACAAATATGAGGGCCGCTGGGGCCAAGGCCAGGAGCATGTAAGGTGCTGAGAGCTCCTCTGCGGTTCCCCCGGCTTACCCCACCTCCTCTCACCCCCTTCCCCCCTGATAGGAACCTTTCATGTTCATGTCACCTCCTGTTCAGGAATCTCTCCTAGGGAAAATTCCTAAATATATAAATAGCTTTATAAATAATATTGACAACCATGTTATACATAATAGCTAACAACTAGAATTAACCTCTGCCTGGTAAACTACATCACATATACTCAAATATTATGCAGCTACTTAAAAAAAAAGGTTTACTAAGTGTGAAAATATGGGGAAAATATGCTGGTTATCACGTCAAATGATAAGAACAAAATATAAAATTGTGTATTCAGGATGATTTAAACCAGTGTTGCCCAACAGAAATATAATTCAAGCCGCAGACTTATATTTTGATTTTTGGGTAGCTGCATTTTAAAAAGTAAATATATATAAAACTAATTTTAATAAGATTTTTAGCTTAATATATCCAAAATAGTATCATCTCAACATAATCTAAAGTTATTAATATTTTGCTTTTTTCTGTGCTAAGTCTTCAGAATTCAGCACATCTTTGAATTTATGTCTTTGAAATTACAGTATATCCCAGTGTGGCCTAGATCATTTCACGATAATAACAGTCGCATTGGCTAGTAACTACCTTACTAGATTGCACATTAGAATTTTTTAAACACTTAAGTATTAGGGAAATAAAAGACTAAAAAAAGAAAATAATAACAAAATCTTAATGATCACAGACTTTCCTTGAGTGGTGAGAATATGAATGTGATTTTTCCATCCTCTCTCTGCTTTCCAAAGTGTCTATATATAATGAATTCATATTACTTTAAAACAATAGCAATAGCCAATCTTTTTAATTTTAGAATAGAAGGGATTTAAAAGATCTGACTGGGTGAACTGTTCCTGTCAAGGATTGATTGATTTATGCCCCATGAGAGCCATCCTGTACCTCTGACACCTGGCATAAGGTACGCTTGCTCTCCGTGCATACCGTTTCATTGCTTCGGTAGTGAGGTGGGAGGGTGGGTAGTTTGGATGGGAAGAGGGAACAAAGGAGGAAAAATAATATACTATAGCAGTTACAAGAGAAAACTTAACTCAACACTCTTGTTTCAAAATCTCAAAGCTATCACTTACTAGTTGTATGATTATAAACAAGTTATTTAACCATTCTGTGCTTTAATTTCTTCAAGTATAGAATGGCAAGAAGGATAGTAACCCCTTCACAGGGTTTTGTGAGAATTAAGTGAGATTATCTATATAAAGTGTTTTAATAGTGTCTGTCATACTGCCAGTGTTTTCAGAAATGTGGCTGCTGTCCTTATGGTAAACCAATGAACGACCGGTGCAGTAAAGCAAAGGCACCCAGGACACACGCTAGAGCCACATTTACCCTGTGTTCCTCTTGCTGCTGCTGTCCCCTCCAACATCCCCTCTTCCTGAGAGTAGAGAGCATCGCCCCTCAGTCGTAGCCACAGTAGAGCCGTCCTTGGGTGTGCGAGTGGTCCCTTTGCTTGACCACCACATACCGCAGCCCCTGACCCGTGTCCCCATGGCCCGTATACCTGCACCACCTCCGGCCTCACGTTGAAGGTGTACAGCCAGTCACTGAAACGAGGGTAGCTGTTGAGCTCTGAGGTCCTCTCACCAGGAGCCACGCTCAGCTTGCACTGCCGTTGTTTGCAAATGTACCGGACCAGCTTCGCCTGCGGGGAGTCCAAGAAAGAAAAGGCTGATTCGTTAGGGGCACATGCATGTGGCTGCCCTGAGCACACTACAGGAGAGCTCTGGCAAACAGGGGCAATGTGAGGAGGACAGGAGCCTGTTGGATTCTCCTTTGCTAGCATTCCAATAGCACTGAAGCAGGAAAGTGAGGAGGGAGGAGAGGAGGAGGGTATGGGAGAGCCAGTAGGAAACCTGGAGAACCACCTATAACCCCCAACCCCACCCAAGGCTGCTGACACTGCCTCACCCTTGGGACCATGATCCTCAGAGAGTCATGGGCAAGACTGGTCAGAACAGAGAACAGGGTTAAAACATAAGAAGGACTTCCTGCCTGAGTAGGGGGAGAAGGAATGGGGGAGGTTAGGATGCAGGGGGTGGTTAGTAATGAAAAGCCTTCTACTTAGGATGTTTCCAGCATAGAATTAGATTGCCTGGGTTGGGATCCAGGGGCTCCCTAGCCCTGTGACCTCGGACAAGTTACTTAACACTCTAACCCCAGTAAAGCTTCTGTTCCCTCCTCCACGAAATGGGTAGACCCTCCCTCTCAGGGAGGTTGAGAAGAAATGAAGCACTCAGTGCATGCCCGGCCCACACGTGTTGACCATGCCTGTCAGGCTGTGGCATTATTGGCAAGGGTCCTTGACTCTGGTCTGACCATAGGCTTTTAGGACTCACACCATGAAATGGATGCAAATTTCAGATATGTGAGTCTGTACATTTTTCAGAGGAAAGACTGTCCACAGCTTTCAAAAGACTAAAACTACAAATGAAATAAGATTAAATAAGGTCAGCCTCATGTTCTCTTTGACAAACACTAGTCTCTGACTGGGTGGCCCGTATTCTATTGAGGAATGCAGAGGGGGGCACAGCCTGAGGCTGATTAAAAAGAAGAAGGAATAGACTTGAACAGATGGAAATGAGTCCACAAGCTAAGGAAGACCAGAGTCCTAGCTCGGCTGAGATCAAGTAACCCAGGAATTCAGTGAGAGCTGCTGAGACGGTAACTAGACTAGTGGCCTCACTGGTGACTTTCAAGTTTCCCCAGAGGGCAAGCACCACCTTCAAAATCTTGGCCTTAGAGCTACTTCCCAGTCCTACTGCCCCCAAGGCTTTTGTTGTTGTTAACACATTCCTTTGTCTTTCATCAGTAAATATCTCAGTATATTTCTCTAAAGCGTAAGGACTCTTTCTGTTAGCACAGTCACAATATTAAAAAATAATTAACACTAATAATTTAAAATTTCGAATATCTAGGAAGGCTCCCAAATAGGAGCTCTTGACCATTTTTGGACCCTGGACCCTTTGGCAGTCTGGGGAGGTCCAACTCTTTCTAAGAATAATGCTTTTAAGTACAAAAACAAAACATTTAGGATTGTAAAGGAAATCAATTCTATGTAAATATGTTTACCAAAATATTACTTAAAATTGTGATAGGGTACTAAAAGCTTCTTTATTAAAGCAGTAAATAACATCTAGCTGTGGGTCTCATAGCTGTCATAACTTTGAAGGTGTGACAAATGTAAAACACTTTTTCAGACAGCTCCACAATTGTAACATGATATGAAAACAGCTGTGATTTTCACTTGTGACCTAGACACACATATTTGCTAAGATGACTGTGCTTTGTTGCCTATATCCAAATCGAATAACATACTAAATTTCAGTTAAGGTTAATGATAATAAAGATACCAATTTTTCCCTGCAAATGCATGGACCCCCAGAATTCTCTCCACAGACCCCAGGTAAAGAATCCTTTTGGCTAGAGGGATGTCAGGCAGGAAATGAGATCCGCAATGACAACAAAACCATTGCTTCTGTGTCAGCCTTTCTGAAATCTCTCCCAGAAACTTGTTTGGTCCCAGGCTCACAATCTGCTAGACGCAGGGGCACTGGTCCACTCATGTAGCCTGGAGCGCTGTTAAATCTTGCTATCTTCACAGGGCTCAGTGGCAAGTGAGGACAATTGTTAGAGAGTGAACACTGAGTGAGAACAAAAATAATTCCACACAATTGTACAGTTTCAACATTTAGTAAAACCTAGACAGAGGCAAACCTATAGCATTACTGCACTATATGCCCCTCAGGTACCCAAAGCAGACATTACTAATTGAACATTTCTCTGCGGAGGCTTTACAGCTCTGAGCAGATGCTAATGGAACACTCTGCGGAGGCAGGCAACTCCAAGTCACCACACGAGAAGTATATTTGCTGTCCTATTATGGAACCTAAGTTCTTGGGGACATTTTTAGAGCATGAAACTCACAAATGTAAAGACATGAGTGCCTCTTTTATCCTAAAGGGCTAAGTGGAGGCACTCACATCCCTCATCCAGGCTCTCCCCTTTCTGGTCCATCCCTCCCCGTGTGACCAGAGGCCAATTCCAAAATCAAGGCCCCAACCTTTCCTTCCAGGCTCATCTACTCTCCTCCTTGCCCTCCATGTACACACTCACCTAGGAGCTATTCCTCAAATATGTCCTGTACTTTCCTACCCGCTGCGCCTCTGCTTAAACTGTCTGTTCTGGCCAGAAGTCCCTCCCTCCTCCAACCACAGTGTCCTTGGCCTGGGCAAGACTTCCCAGGCCTGATTAGAGTTTCCTGTCTCCCCTTCCAATTGTTCTGTCTGCATCTTAGTGGCAGCCCCTATCACAGCAGGCCTCATAGTTAAGCTTCTGACAGGGTCTCCACCAACAGATGTGCGCTCCCAGGGCGGCAGACATAGAACAGGTTTCAGAGGTCAACAGAATCTGGGTTCAAATCTAGGTTCTGCCATTTACCAGTTGTGTGACCTCAGGGAAGTCTGTTAATTTTTCTGAGTCTTGGTTTCCTCACTCGTACAACAGGAATGATAATATCTGGCTCATGGTCTATTGGGAGGATTGAGCCACAGTGTGGAAATTCATACTAGGTTAGTCCCCCTATTATTACATATCAGGGCAGGGACTGTGTCTACCTCATTCGTGGCTGGTCTCACACGTCTATTACTGCACAAGGCACATAACATGTGCTCAAAAATTCTGAGGAAGGAAGGAAGCAAGGAAAACTCATGGGCCTTATTCCCCATGTTAAAACATTTCTCACTGCCAGTTTTTACCTTCATTCTAAACTGCTCTCAAATTACAGCTTCAAAGAGCTGACCAAAGACAAGGGGTATAAATCAAATAACTGTGCCAAGTCAAAATCATTCTTTTCCACATTAACCAAAGAGGTCAGGCTGCCGGCACGCACAGCAGCAGCAGTGAAGGCTGTCTGTCACTGGCATGAGAGTTTCCAGGGCCAAATTCTGGGGGCCAATTAATAAGACATCCATTCTGCAGAAGACTTAGGTCATCACAGGTTGACATCAAGGTCAGCCAGTCTGGCCTCAGCAATAAGCCAGGGTTTGGGGCTTACTCTAGCCTTTTTCAGCCTCCAGGCTCTCTGCCTTCTGCCAGGAAAGTTCTTACCAGTGATGCTTCAATGCTTCAGTCTCCACAGCTCAGCTTAGATCTCCATTTCTCCAAGCCTTTCAGCCCCTGCCCTCTCCCCCATCAGATCACACATCATGGTTCTAATATTTTACTTGTCTACTTCTTTCTTTAGACTGTAAACTCCATGAAGCCAAGTGTCTGGTCTGTGTTCTTGGTCACCACTAGGTCCCCAGGAACCAGCATAGCGCCTGGTACATGGTTTGCTATTATAAAACTTTCATTGAATAAACTAATGAACACACATTTTGTAGCCCTGACAGGCACATATGTTTACCAAAATGACAATGGAAAACAAATGCCAATTGAGCAAGTGATGACTCAGGAGCCTGAGAGTCTCAAAAACCTGGGCAAGTTCCCCAGAAGAGGAGTAAGCAGTTTCTTTTGTTTAAAGGTGGCTAAAGATCCCTGCTCGACAGCTCAAAGCAGGCCCGCGGGTAGGACTGTACTGAACTTGAAACGATTCCTCCCTAGACGTAGTTAACAACCCATACGCCTGGCTGGCAGTGCATTGAGACCCATTTGCCAGCAGGTCTGGTGTCCTGGCAGCTGCTTCTTTCAGAGCTCATAAAGAAGAAATGACACCTGCAGATTTAGGTTCTGCTAAATGAGCAAAGCTTTTCTCATTCACAAAGGATGAAGGCACCTAGTGTGCAGCAGCTCATATCCGAGCCATATACGGCTGTTCTCACTTTTTGGAAAGTTGGTCACAGTCACACAAGCACCCAGGGGCTACTTTCCCAGAGAAACCGCAGTGGGGCCTGCCAACCCAGCCTCAGGGGCCTGCAAGGGGACCTTTCATGGGTAGCATCATTTTCTCTTAACCACAAAACCACAATATATAAATTTTCCGGAATAGAAAAGCACCTGGGGTTTCAGCAATGGAACCAGCAGCAAGAGGGAGTCATTAGCACTCTGGCCATCGGGGAGGACCAAGGGCTAGAACTAAAGTCTCACCCCTGCCCCCAATATTCTTTTGCTTCATTAGTGTGTGACCCACCCCTCTCCTTACACTCACCCTGGTTTACAGAAAGAGCAGAAGAGCATCAAGTCAGCCCACAAGCAGTTGGTGGGTACAAGTGCTCACCAAGTGTCCTAGAGTGAAAGGTCTAGGCTCTGGTCCCAGCTCTGACATTTAGATCAAGGACCTTGGGGAAATTCCCCTTAGCTCAGCTTCAATCTTACCACCTATAAAAATGGTATCATTTTATGAAAGCTGGGGCCAAAGTAACTAATAAAAATGCCTGGAACAAGAAAAAAAACACACACAGGTCCTACTGTGTTACTGTTATTTACTCTAACCACATCCAAGAGGAAGCGTAGCTCTGCAAGGAAGAATTGATGCTAGAGGCAGAGGGACCCGGTCTCAAAGCCCCTCACCGTCACTCTCCCCCAGCAGGTGAACACAGATTTAACCTCAGCCTCAGTTTTCCCACCTGTAAATTGGGGTTGATGTGCTTCAAAGGGCTATTGTGGAGATTTACATGAGAAAATAAGGATGTAAGATGTTCACGT